CACCTCAAAAAATCCCCATAAACACTGAAGAACACCCATAACGCCCATAAATACCCCAAAACACAGAAAAACTCCCCAAAACAACTCAATAACACCCCAAAACTGACACAGAACGCCCCCAAAACATCCCAAAATTCTCCAAAACACCCCGAAACATGTGAAAACACCTATTGAAAAACCCACAAAACCCCCCACAAAACACTTGTAGATACCTCAAAACATCCATAAACACCCCCAAAAACCTAAAAACTAACCCAAAACACCCCAATATTCTCCAAAACGACCCTAAACACCCCAAAATACTCCTAAAACACACCCAAACCCCCCAAAACACATCAAAACACCCCAGAACACCACAATACCTCAAAACAACCCCAAAACTAACACAGAACACCCCAAAAACATCACAAAACTCTCCAAAATCCCCCATAACAGCCCAAAACACCTCCAAAACACCATCAAACACCCCCAAAAGCACCCTCAAACACCCGTATAAACCCCAAGACACCCCAAAAAGATCCCAGACCACATAAACACCGCCAAAACGCCAGAACACCCCCGAAAACACCATAGAACACAGAAAAAAACACTCCAAAACACCCCCGAAACACCACAAAACACATAAAAAACACCACCCAAACACCCCTAAAACACACCAGAACACCCCTAAAACACCACAAAAACACCCCAAAACACCTCAAAACACCCATAAATAACCCAAAACACCACATTAACACCCCAAAAGCACCCTAGAACAAAATAAAACATCACAAAAACTCCCCAGAACACCCATAAATACCCCAAAAAGACCCCACCACATAAACATCTCAAAAACACCCATAAATACTTCAAAACGCCCATAAATACCCCAAAAGACCCCAAAAAGACCCCGGAACACCACATAAACACCCCAAAACACCCTAGAACACAACAAAACACCCTGAAACACCACACAAATTCCCCAGAACACCCATAAATACCCCAAATCCCAAAAGAACACCCAAAAATACAACAAAACACCCCAAATACACTTAAAAAACACAAAAGAACACCCCAAAACAGACTCCAGACAAACAACAGAGGCTCAGAAACCAGAGGCATTACAGAAACAGAAGAAAACACACAAAGGTCCAAACCATCCAGAAAGAAAAGAAAAATACAACATAAAAAGCCAGAATTAATCTACAAGAAAACAAAGCAGATGCACAAAAGTCTGAAGAGCCAACCTACTGATTTTATTCACCCGTTTAGGTCCAGTCCTCCGTCCAGCTTCCAGTCAGGAGCAGGACAGAAGCAGCAGAGCGAGAAAAGGCCTAGAGACGGCAATTTTAGGGGTTTTTAGGGGATTTCTGTGTGATTTTTGGCTGATTTTTCTGTGATTTTTTTGTAATTGTAAGGTTATTTTTATGTGTTTTCTTCATTTCAACTTTATGTGATTTTTCCATGATTTTTATGTGATTTTTAAGCTTTGTGTGTCCATTCTTTGTCCTTTGTGCGTCCATTTTTAGCCCTTTGTGTGTCCATTGTGTTTCCTTTGTGTGTTCTTTGTGTGTCCGTTGTCTGTTCTTTGTGTGTCC